ACTGGAGCCGGCGTCTCCTGAAACCCATTGGCGTTGGGACCCCGCTCTGAAAAAGCTTTCGCTCGGGTCGTCCCTTGCCCCGCCAGGAACCAAGGCGAAATCGGATGATGCCGGGCATCCCGGCCGTTGGTCGCGAAGCGATGCGAAGCGCCACGCGCCACCTCAAAGCAAGCCAATACCGGGGTCTCCTCGACATGTTTGTTTGGCAGACGCGAAAACACTCGAGCATATGTTCTCTACCTCAGATTCCCAGATGTGGGCCAATTGTTGGGAAGATGTATGCGCAGTGAAACCACCCGGGGGTTGGCGACGCGACTGGCACCAAGCCTTGAGGAAGGACCCTTTGTTTTTCTGTGCCAAGGAGCGGCAAGTCAACGAGAGAAGGGGCCCTACTGGGAGCCGGTAGGGCTTCTGACTGTACTGGGTAGTTTGAGCAGCCATGGACCATTCCAACCTCCCCATTTTTAGAAAGATACCCACCCCCAGTCAATGGTTGAGACAGATACCCCAGTAACCAAAGTGTCGGGACCGAAGCACGATTGAAGCACCCTGAGCAAGAGTCCATCGGTTTACTGAAAGGGCCGGGGCGCACTAGGTATTGCGGTTGACAACCATGCGAAGCCATGGCTTAAGGTTCCGTGATGGTGGGCTGCCCTGACGTGCTTCTCCGAGTGGTTCTTGAACGATCAGCAAACCTAGGCAGACAATTATGTTCTACCAAGGGGTCTCATCCCAGTGATTCCGTTTGCCCGTATAGGTTGCCAATTCAACCACCCTTGGGTATCCAGGAATACTGCTGGTTACCCACTGCACTGCTATCCGGGGCTCACACCGTTATCCAGGGGGTGAGATACCTGGTTACGACCTATGGCTTACCCGGAAGCACTGGGCGAACAATCGGTCAGATGAGTCAGATGTTTTCCCAGCCCGTTTCGGTTCGCGGATTCTTTTTTTTTCCGCTAGGCCACTGGTCTCTCAGTTCACGCCCCGGCGATTGCTGGAGTGCGCCGCACCCGTGCGGGGGCCCGGCCTGGTTTCGCATGTCGAACCTTTGGGGGTCTACAAGGTGATGGTGGGTGTGCGGTGTTTTTGAGGGCATCCCCTTTTGTCAAGCAGAACTCAACATTTTGTGGTCAGATTCCTTGTCAGATTCCTGAACAACTTGCATCCTTTTTTTTCAGATTCCTTTTTGTCCTTTTTTGGGCAGAACTGTCAAGCAGAACCCCCGTCCCGTCCTTTTGGACACTACCCCTTGTTTGGAGTTTGGGCCATTTTCTGCGCAGGAAAATGAACAGGGAGCTACAAATGTTCTGCCGGTAGGCTTCCTGATTTGGGAGACTTACCTCAAGCGGGGAAGCCCTTGCATGGGGTTTACAGCGAAATCAAGCGGAAACCAAGGACGTGGCAGCAAACTTGACAATTTGTTAAATGATTTTCCTGGCTTGCACTCGGCAGCCGCAACTGGGAATGGTTTGTTTTTGGCATGTTTGGCCACAAACCAAGTCGCAAATGACACAGGAGCGACCTGTCCCGAGTCGTGCCTGTGGATTTTGTCCACCTGATCGAATCGCCCCTCCCCCGCAGAAAGAAAGGCCTTTTGGAAAGAACAGGCGTTTCCATCAAACCTACAAAAAGAAGGCGTTTCCATCAACTTGCAAAAAGAAGGCATTCAATCAAACTGCAAAAAGAAATCAGCCACCAGATCTTCGATTTTGCCAAAGCGCCTCGACCCCAGGCTTCGATCGGCCGAACTCGGCCAGGCGCGCTTGGCGGTGTTCCGGTACCAGCGCCAGCCGCGGTGGATGGCCGGGGCCCCCGAAGAATGGAGTTCTCGGTGTTCCAGGTTTCCCGTTAGAAAAAGCCGGCCAGAAAAAAGCGATGGGGGGCTCGTCATTTTTTGCGGGTACCATTTTCTGGTTGGCTTTGAAGGGAATCAATGGACAACCTCAATTTTCGGGGGGTCCCACATTTTGAGGCAAAGCCACATGCAGCCTACATGGTTGGGCACTTCAAACTCAACTTAAGTCATTTCCAGAAGGGCATCATGTGTGTGTGTGTGTGTGCGTGTGTGCGGACTGATTCAGCCTCTGTTCGGTTTCTAGGATTGCCTTACGGAACTGCTTTTTCTCGCGACATTTGTATAGGGGGTGTCTTGCCTAGATGGTGATAGGGCCCAAAATATAAAGCGTGGGGTTGTGGGGCTCAAGCCAAGTGTCAGTCATCATGGAGGAATCATGTGAATAATCCATTGCCATGGCACCTGACAGGGAGTTCCTTCAAGAGGAGATTTATCTAGGTACCTTCCCAGAGGTAAAATGAGGAAGGGTACTTCAATCCCATGAACAAAGCATGTAATATAGTGGCCAACAGAAATTACCGGCCCCCCGGTTTTGAAGAACCCTGAACCAGCTGAAGCCTCCACCACGGGCAGAGAACCCATGGTCGGGGTTGGGGTTTTCCAATGGGCTGACCCGTGCCTAGCTGGGAGAGTAAGCAAGGAGCCTGAAAGCTTTTGGCACTTTAGGGAAACGCTTTTGACCTTGAAACCTAGGAAGGCTGGCTGCGTATCTCATTCCTTAGCCCTGGACCTTAAACGTTCCGGAAGATCGCTGTATTGGCAAGCAACAAGTTTGGACTGTTTCTGGCCAGTCCACTCAAGAAGTGAGCTATACTGATGTTCCCAACGCAAGGACACGGTGGACCGGCTCGTGACTGCCACACTCGCCGGGGCCTTCGGGGTCTCAGGTTCCTGCCAGTTGCTGACAAGGGTTCTTTTTGGGGGGGTTCTTAAAATCGTGGGCCCCCTAATGGTTGGATTCCTTCGGTTGCCCCTTTTATGCCAGCCAAAAGGGGTTCACCATGTTGAGAAACACTCACATGTCCCTTTTGAGATAGTTCCAGCTTCACATTTCGGGCCATGTTTGGAATTGTTTCCATTGGTGGGGTGACTTTTTCAGGCTATTAAAGAAATGGTCTCCTGGCTGAATTGGTGGAGGTTGGCTCCACCGCACAAACCAACATGGAACCCTGAACCTCCCCTCCCAACACATCTCGTTTGCGAAATTCTATGTTAATTTGATTTGCGGAGGGGGAACATTTGTTCAGTCACAAAGACATAGTGTGTGAAACCACGGGCTACCAGCCAGAAGGTCGCCTTTCCATGTTCCAAATTGCTGAAACCTATTGACTTTTCCCTGTTTGTTCTGAAGCAGCCTGGTCACGACTCCGGGTTTCTCAGTTGAGCAGCTAATTAGGGAGCTGGAGGGGGCGGGGTGCCAGCCGGGCTTGCTTGGGACTGCTTGTTGTGCCGTGCTGCCTTTGAATAAAGGGCAAGCATGGAAAACTGCAAACTCTACGAAAGATAGGGATCCAATCCTACACTGAGGACTGGAGTGGCCCTTTAGGTGCCTTTCAAAGGGAAACACGGGGAAGCGAAACGAAAGGTAAAGAATCGGCAGTCTGTGAAAGCAGATGGTTGGCCAACGGATGCGCCATGATTTCAAGACGACTTCCCGCGACGTGACCAAAACTTGCCCAGCACCACCCCAGGGTCGTCTTTGTGAGCAGAGCCCGAGACTGCTCTGATCACAACAGTTTAACAGCTTCCGAATGTTGAATTGTCTTAGAATGTTCAGGATTCCTCCAAGTGCCCCATATTTTGCAATGTGTTACTTTCCGTTCAGCCAATCAAGTGTTTGCTTTCCTTTCTCCGGACCACTTCACCCCAGTTGGATGCTGCTGGCGAGACCGAGCCGCGATCCAGAGGCGGATTCGTGAATCGGCGTGTTGAGGCTTCTGGAAATCCTCCCCAATTGGCGCAGACCCCCGGAACTCTTTTCGTGACTGGAGATGTTTGTTGCTTTTTTGGGGGAGCCGCATCATTTGCCCCGCCTTGTTTTTGGTGAGAACGCCCAGACCGTGCCCTGCGTTTTTCGATTTTATTTTATTTTGAAATGTTACATGTTTAGCCAATTTTGACTTTTTTTACCGGTTCGTTTGTTCGCAGGGTTGCGACAGGCGTTGTCACCAGTTTCATCGCTCCGCACAACGCCTCGCACGTTTGTATCCACGCCCTGCCAAATGCTAAGCACACCCCCAACTGACCCCGCTCAGCACTGCATCCACGCCCTGCCAAGTGATAAGCACACCCGCTTAAGTGAGCACACCCGCTCAAGTGACCCCGCTCAGCACTGTGTCCACGCCCTGCAAAATGATAAGCGCACCCGCTCAAGCGACCCCGCTCAGCATTGTGTCCACGCCCTGCCACATGATAAGCACACCCGCTCAAGTGACCGCGCTCAGAACTGTGCCCACGCTCTGCCAAATGATGATAGGCATTCCAGCCCAAGTGACCCCGCTCAGCACTGCATCCACGCCTTGCCAAGTGATACGCACACCCGCACAAGTGACCCCGCTTAGCAGGGTATCTACGCCTCCAAAGTCTGACTCGGCACGTGGCAAAATCACAATGCTGTTTCTTCCAGAAGGGCATCCCTCATCCGATGAAGACATCGAAATGGAGGCTCCCGATGATGATGAAGAAATGGATCCGATGTCCAGCGATCCTCATGACAAACCACAACAACCGCAAAAAGAGGAGCCGATCTTTTCTCCGAGGGATTAGTTCCACAAATACAACTGCGTCTTCAACCTCTCCGAGATGGCTGATCTGGCAGAAGGAGGAGAACTCCACGTTGGTCAACTTGACCTACACACAAATCCGAACGGAACCATGAGGGAGTATAACCACGTGCTCGATTCGTTTGGTGGAGCAAGCCCCTCAGTAATTCCTATTCACGTATGACCAGCACGCTGCCAAAGGGACTACACTTGGAAGTCATGAGCACGCAGAACCGAGATTCAAGTTTTCCCTATCGGCCGTACAGTGAGTACACAGCGTTTGAGTCCAACATTCACCACCAAGACTTGTGAAGATCCTACGACATCAAATCGGACAAAAGTGGGGGAACTCTATTCCTTGCAATGGCGGAGGATGGGTAGGCATTGACCACATCCCGAATCGCAAGAGCGTGTTCCCGCAGGATCGGTACAAGAAGAGCGACAGATTCCAAATGATCGCCGAGTGCATCAGATCGGAGGATCGGAGAGCACGAAAGCCGAGACTGCAGATCCTTGCTGCGAAGTTTGATCAGGAGATCGACATGGAGACGATGGCAGGTCTCATAGCGGCTGGATGGACAAAAAAAGACATAGACTGGATTCGTCGCGAGCATGGCGGATGGTGGCAACCATGGTGCATTCGAGCGTCATCAGGGCATTCGGATTTCGGATTCGCTCGTCCTGCTGAACTTTGCAACATCTTGTTCCCGAACATGTCCGATCGCTTGGGCGAAGCATTTCACGTGACAAAGCCATCAGCCCTGGAAGGTATCATTTTGAGAGGTATCGTTCCTGGCGGCAATGACAGTGCACGAAGACTGGCAGTACACTTCGGAGTATTTGCACCTTGGGACAGCGAGAACATCTCGACCAAGACCGCAATGCACGATGTCAAAGAGGGAGACGACCTCATCGCCATCTATGTGCCGACAAGGAAGTTGTCCGTGTACCAGTCAAGGGGTCACGTCGGGAGGAACGATTGTCGCCTTCGAGACCATTCCCTTCAAAGAGATAAGGGCGATCTGGAGATTCAAGTCCATGAAGAAAGGGCCTGTGAAGGAAGTCAAACGGATCTACCTCAACAATTTCCTGGACGATGAAGATTCAGCGGATGCCGACATCCTGAGAAAGATGGTCGTCGATGCATGCGTCAACGTCGGAGTGCCCGACGCCTTGGACAAATCGTGGGTAGAGATCCGGGATTTGCTCAGCAGATTCATCGTCTACCGCGAGGAAGACCTATCAAGCATTTCCAACACGGGTATGCCCAGCGTGCGCTATCATTGTTCCAAGGGGATTTTTCTATTGCACGGCGTGCCAATGCGAGTTCATTTCCACCGGCAAGTTCGTGATCCACGTGGACGACGACGAGGCCAAACCATCCGACACTACCAACGTGACGGAGGAAGTGAAACAAGCTCAGCGAGAAGCAAAGGAGGATGCTGAGCGATTCGTTGCCGAAGAAGAACGACCCGACACCCAGGAGCTGAGTGAGGAACGATCTGCAGGCAGATCGTACATCCCATCGGATATTGGGACGGACATCGATCGACGATGAAGATGTAGGAGTTTGTCCGGATAACCCAGTTCGGCCACTGCGCTGCGCGATGGATTGCGTATTTGCGAGCGTGGCAATGGCGCCGCGCCCAAGCAAATAGAAACTTGTTTCAGCAGCTGGGCAAGCTGCGCGTGTCGGCCTGAGCTATATGGCGGCCTGACCTATAACAGCTTTGCGCAAACACGAAGTTCGTTTTCCTGATTCTTTCAGTAAACGTGATTTTGCCTAGGCGAAACGCATGTCAGGTCCAAAACGACAACATCGTTGTGGGGGATAAAAGGCATCCGGAACATGTTTGTTGGCAGGCGACGTGCGTTTCGCCTAATTAGGCGAAATCACGTTTTGAGGTTTTCGCGGCCGGGGTGAGTTGCTGAAAACGCAGGGTGCCTTACGTTGTCACCTTGTTTTTTTTGGGCACGGGGGTTGATTGGACATGGAACTTCAACAAAGTTCCAGGGGTCCCAAGCTATGGAATGACAGGCTGATGGCTGGCCAAGTCCTTTGTGCCTTTGTTTCAGCGGTTGCTTTTATTGCTTCTGGTTGGCTGTTTCGGCTAAATGGACTTTTGGGCTTCTTTTGGACCTGGTGTATGACTACACTAGTTATAGTGAGCGCACGGATTCGAACTCACCTAGAACCTCAGCTTGGCGAACAAAACGTGCGGACAGCTTGTATCGGTTGTTTCCAACCTGTATCACCTCATGTTGCACTCAGCCTGGCCAAAGCGGTGCTGCAAAATATTTGGGCCAGGCGCGGGGCTTGATTGGCTTGGCTTCGGCTGCTGCAGGTTTCTATCACCATTTGGCGAAGAGAGCATTGGCCGAACGTAGTTTTAGGATTCCAACCAATTTTGTGCGCTGCTTTGAATTCGTCTCGAAAGAGTAACTTTATTTCCAGGTCCTTGGGTCAAATGCGTCGATTTTTGAGACCGCTGAGTGAAAAGATGGCCAACCCTCATGGGCAGAACGTCGGTTATAGGTTTCTCGTGTTTTCTTTTGAACGAGAGAAGGAGCGGAAATACGGGAAGACTAGGAAAGACTCTGAGACGAAGACGACGGTTAATATTGTGGCAACATTGTCTGGCATTCATTTGCCAACCAGAGAGAAACTGAAACCAGCATTTTGATCCACGCTCCAATCTCATTTGGACAAAGAGCATGTAGGTGTGTGTGTGTCGAACAGGGATTCAGACCCCAACGAATGGATTTCGGTTTTCCTCTTGGTTTCCCTCAAGCCGGCCCAAAAAAACAGGTAAGCCACAACCCTGAGCCTTCGAAACTCGCAGGCAGCCTGGACATTGTTTGAGGCGCGTCCGGAAGCTCCGCTCGAGGAATGGCAGAAATGCGAATGGCGAGCTTGGGGGCTTAAAGCGAGCTGACGAAGGTCCTTTTTTTGGGATCCCTTCTTTCAGGTTTTGGACTTGCGAGTGATCAGAGTCACGCCAGACCGGTTTCGTGTTGCGGAAAATCTGCTTCGAGCCGCCCGTTGCAGATGATGTTGGGGATGCTGGCAGTGCTGTTGCCGCCCACCCCCCCAACAGCCTTTCCCTTTCGCGTCGACCGTCACTTAAGACTTTGGCTGCGGCACTTTGAGGTCTGCTTTTGATGGCTGCTGAGCGTCTTGGCTGGGTGATTTTAGTCACTTCAAACCAATCACGGAATTCAACAAAGTTGGTAGCACTTCTACTTTTATCTTTTGGCTTCTCTTCGAAGTCTGCTCCTATTTCTCTTTACAACCATTTCGGGTCCAGTATTGCTTCCAAGTCGATAGAGGTTAGTCGTAATATTGTGCAAGGTCCGGAGAAACAAAACAGAGCGTTGAACCCAGTTTCGTGTTTGGGGAGCGTTGCTTCGAGCAACTTTTGAGCCGAACCATTTCGTTCGGATGCCAGTGTGCTCGTTCTGGTATTGCTTTCAAAACCCGTGATCCAGAACACCTGGTAGCTCCCCGCTTTCAGTTGGTCTGCAGATTAAAATCAGCTTCCCTAATCGGTGTTTGAATTGGTGGATTGGTGGTTTGGCGTTCAAGGGGTTTTCACATGTGCCCTCTACAAGAACCAGGGGTTAAAATCTTCAAACCATCAATCCAAACCAATCAGGCAGGGCTCCTTAAAAAATACATTTTGCAACCATTTGAAACATGGCTTTTTCCACCAAAATAAAGGGAAACCACCATTTACAAGGCAATGTTCAGGTGTATAGTGTAAGGATCCCTGTTAGGGGTTACCTGATAGGTGGTTCCCACTTTTTGGCTTTGGACCACCCTTTGAATTCGTCAAGTTGCTTTATCCGAGTCAACTTTGCGCAAATGGTCAGCTCACCCGAGGTATATCAGCCCACCGTAAATTTCAAGGTTGTGAATCAAGGATTTGAGGTGCCAGGTGTGAAATCAAATAGCACAATTTGTTTTCATGGGCGGCAGTTCCACCTCCTTTTGGTTTTGGTGGGCCGAAAGGTCATAAAGCCACTCAGCGTTGTTGTTTCTTAGTGCAGCAGCAACCTCTAAGGTCCAGCAGCTGAGGTCACAGCTTCAATGTGCCGGGGTGGAACGGTTCAATCGGGGCTTGAAGGGGGGTGCAACTGAAGCCGCTCAAAGAATCCTTAAATGAAGCATCCGCAAAAATGAGACTGCGGTCCTTTCATATGAACCCACGAGAGAGGTTAGCAAATGTGGCCGACAGTGTCGGACAGGGGGGGGCATTCGTATTGGCTCTTTGTTTTGACCGAAGTACTGGTAACCTTTTTTTTTGGTTGGGGGGAGGGGCGAATGCTTCACTTCCAAAGGTTGATCCCCCATTCCCTTTACACATGTTCAGAAACCACCAACTCCGCGTGAATTTCTGGCAATTTCCTGCAGGTTTGCGACTGCAATGCTCAAGACACTGGAAGGCTGCTCAAAGAAGCGCCTGCAGATTGTACATAATATAGCTCCACCATTGCACGCAATATCACCATACAACTCAGCTGCTAGTCGCCGCTAGATATGGTACCATACAGAGGTCTCAGCTTATCACTAAGCTTTCGTGCCGTGGGGTGGGGCCATTCGACTGGTGAATTCAGTGTGGACCTCTCAACCAACCCAGTTTCTTGATCTGCGAGTGCCTCCCTGCTCTGATTGTTCCTAAAGATATGCTCAAAACCGGGCTCCCAGGTTCCAAACGTGGGCTGAGCAGAACACTAACACCGCTTCCGAGGTGAAACACAATATATACTGTATATATATATATATACATATATATATATATACATATATATATATACATATATATATATACATATATATATATATATACATATATATATGTATGTACACATTCATTTATACCCGTACATACTAATATATATATATATATATATACACGTATTTTTGTATGTATATATATGCAGATACAGTGTGTATGATTTCGGATACATCAAGATGGGCGCGAGATGTGGGGTTTTCTGTGCGCCCAACCGGCCCTTTCGCTGGGTTTCCCATGGCTTCCCGGCAGCACGCGGTGGCCTGGGTGGACCGCTACGGGGAGGCCTGGCGCACGCAGAGCCCTGGCCGGACTGCGAGTGAACCCCGGGGGCTGGTAGCGCCCAAGAGGGCCAGTTTTTAGGTACCCAGCGCAAAAAACAGGCTGCTTCTGAACCACTGGTTTTTGGACAGTACTTGTGTTTTGTCACATGGGAAATAAGGAGTTGTTGGGGGGTGCGGGAGTAGAAAAGCCCACAGAAACCTCTAGAATGGGAACCTTGGCTGAATCAACCCTAGTTTGCTTTGCGAAGTGTCGCTATGGGTTTGGTTGGGATTTCAGCACTTGAGGCAACAACCAAACGAAAACACATAGGACGGGTTAATGAATCGGGTCAACATTAAAGCGGAAACAAAAGAATCCCACGATATTTGGTTTCCCCCGATTTTAAGGCACACGCACAGGGGCCTTGCCAGCGTACACCATGGAACCTACTAAAATGGCCCCTTCCTGGGGTGACTAAAGGGGAAGCCGAAGGGAAACCACAGCCATAGGGTTCCGAGTCCTTTTGGGGTTCCGAACCCAGAAATCTGCTCAGGTGAGTCAGGTGACTGAGACTTTCTGGGTTAAGCTCAGAAACTGGTTTCCCTTCAATCTACTTAGCGTGCCTTTTTTCAATTGGTCGAATAGTAATGGGGCCAGTCTTTGCCCCTTTGCCGTTTGGGAGTTCCTTCATTTTCTGGACTGTTTCTTGTACAAATTGGTTGTTTTCTTTTAAGGCAGATCAATGAACCAGACTCTGACATAGGTAGTCCTGTGGGCCAAAGTTTGGGGGGTGCCGGGCTGCTTTCATTTTCGTCTTTGGTTTTGGTCCCTTGGGACTCTGGTGGTCTGATTCCCAAGGAGCGTGGAGGCGATCTTGGCGCTCTTCACCGAGGAGGCGCTTCTGCCGGCGGCGTCGAGGGTCGCCGTTGTAGCCTGAGGGTTTTCTGCCCGACCCACAAAAGAACAATGGGGTCATAGGATGGCCTTGGGACTTTTAGGAAGCCAAAGGGAAGCTGCGCCTCTTTTCGGGTTAAGGGTCGAGTGGCAATAAAGCAAGTGAAGCGGTCAAGGAGAGAACCTGAAAGTTTTGGGGACCTCACACCTAGGTACTTCAGCTGTCCTCGGATGGTGGTGAAAATCGGGGTGCGTCTTTGGGTGGTTTTGGCGCTTGTCTGGGGTCACCCTCCCAATTTGAGCTTGGATTTGAAACGGGGGGAGTTCAATCCCTTCTTGCAGAGGTGTTTCCGATGTCGGAAAGCAACTTTTGGAGTTTCCGAAGGGAATTGGTTAAACCTCAGCAATTTGCGGGCGTTGGAGGCAGTCTACGTGGAGAGGCCCTACGACGAGACGGGCATCTACCACGGTCACGAGGGAGTCTTGGCTCATAGCGGGATTGAGGAAACGTTCGGGTGGGTTCGTTGTTTTTTAAGGGTACCCTTCTCAGTGGTGTTTTGAAAGGAAAACCAAGAGTATTTTGTCGAATGGGGAGAGCTGTGAACGAAATTTGGAACTTTAATGTGTCAAAAGAGGGAAACCAAGAGGAAGCACAAAGTCGGGGGCGATTTCCCGCCCCCGTGAGACACACCCAAGCTCCAGCCGCTATTTGGCCAGACCCCGGCGCTTGACGCAATTGACACCCAAAACCTGGCGGAAGCCCCGTGAAGCCGTTGAACAGTCCGGCTCAGCCCGCCGCTCGGAAGGTCTGACTTGTGCCGGGTATGTTGGCCAGTTTCGGATGCCGCCTTGACACGAAAGGATCGCACATCCAAAGAAGAAACTTGCTGGTGCTCAGTGAGGAATGACCCAGGGTTTCGGGAATGAACTCAGGGGTCTCCTTAAAGGAAACCACCCGTTGGTTGGTTTTGGTCGGAGTCATTCCATTTCTCATCAGCAAGCAAAGAAGGAACCTGAAGAGACCTGCATCATTCCAACCAGGGTGAACCCTTCCAGCCACTCTTTGCGGGTCCCCACGAAAAACAATAAAAACAAATGGTAGGTCTTCCTTTTGGTTTCTCTTTGAAACTACCAACAAGAGGGGATTTGTGTTTGCGGAGGAACTCCTTTCCAACGGTTGTCAGACCTGCAGTTTGGTGAAGCCCTTGTAAACGAATATACACTTATGCCCATTCCTTGAATGCCCTCAAGCCAGGGGGTCTTTGGGCCGCGCTTCCTGGCATTTGGCCATCGAGTATCGACGCGTCAGGGATCAAGAACTACTGGCTGGAGCACATCCAGGTGGCTCGGCTGCAACCAGATGCCAACCATAGATCATTTGCATGCTCAAAACGGGGAGCCAATTCCTCCTCTTGTAGACCCGTTTCTTCGCAACCAGGGTATGTTCCTAACCAAACCGGGTACCAGACGTCAGCGAATTGGTCATGACCACGGGCCTTGGGGTATCGTTTCTTGGGTCAAGAAAGAAATGCAAGGGAACCAACACCCCACTTTGGGGTTTCCCTGGTTGAGACCAGCCAGTCTTTCTCTTTTGTCTGGGTTTCCCTTCACATCCGAACTCATATCTTATGAGTGTTGGGAAAAGGAACGTTTCCGCGAAGAGCAGCAACACAACAGAACTTTGAAACTCTTTTTGGGGAATGAAGCCAACTTAATTCCGAATGTGTTTTTTCCTATTGGTGTCGCTCTGCTGTTTCCCTAAAATCAACCAAACAGGTTGCTTCTCCGTCCAAGCTCTTGAAACGCAGCAAGAAAACCTCCCGTACAGGGAGTTGAAGCCGCGGTTTCCCCGTGCGTTGCCCAGGTCAGGGAGCGCAACATCAACTTCCAGAACATCAGTGAGGCACCGATTCTCGAGCCTGTGAGCCCGTTGAAATTGCACTGGGATTTCACCATGGGAATTGCAACTCTGGGAATACCATCATACGGGCCTGTCTTTTCTTGAGCATCCAAACCACGCCCAAAAAGACACCCATATATGCATCTTGTTGATCCTCTTTTCTGAAGTGTCTTTGCTTCCATTACAACCCCCGAGGTTGCCTGCTGGTTTCGAATCAGTGGGGAAATGGAAAACTGGCGCCCTTTTCCGAGGGCAACCCATATCCTATCCTGAAATAGCCCCTTGGCGAAAGCAACATCATGGAATGGCTTTGCCCGAAACAAAGAACATCATGTAAAGCAACAAACTCCTGTACACTAGCCAGGTTCTTATCCGTTTTTTGCTGCCAGCCAGGGATACTCCCAAGATCAGAATCATTTATGTTGGATATGCTCGTGTAGTTTTGAAGCGAGTGCCAACTGGACCAGGTTCGTGGCTGGTTCATTGATCCTATGGGGTACCCTCTGGAAGGGCTTCCCTTCCAGTGAGGGCTGGGCATATGGCCAAAGATCAATTTGGGTGGCTTGAGTTTGTCGGGTAGTCAAGTGCCATAATTTTTGACCAGAGAGAAACAAACCATTTTGGAGGCAAGCGACATCCCATGGGTTGGTCTCTTTTGCTACCCGGGGGCGAGACATGCCCCTCTGAGGCTTTGAGGGGACTTCCTTTTCTCGATGACATAGTATAAGGGCCCAAATAATTAGAATGGGGTTGTGGGGTATGTTAAACACAAATTCAGTCATGACTGTAGGAGTTACTCTAGCCGTCAGTGAATCCTTTTGCCCACGTACAACCTTAATGCTGCTTCGTTCATCCCTCGGTCTGGGTGCGGATATAATTCCCTATGGCTGCGTGACTGAATCTCCTAGCAAACTGGAAGCCATCTGGGATTCCGAGTAAGACAAGGGAGGTGAATTTGGGAAAACATGTGACATACCCGTTTGCTTTTTTCACGACAAATTAGCCAAACCGAGGGATTCCGTTGTTCCCCGCACGTAACTTCAAGGGAAATAGCTTATCGAATGTTCGGCGTTGGAGTTAGGACCTGGTCTGGGACGAAAGCAGCTGCACCTCCTTCGCCAAGTGGGAGGCTCGCTTCGAGGTGCGCCAAACTTCGGAGAAGCCCTGGAAGCCTGCGCCTTGGAAGCGACGATTTGCGAGACTTCGACTCGTGTACTCGACTCGGTGACGGTTCCTTCTTTTGGGGGGGGAATACGGGTGACCGTACCAAAGCATGGCATCGGGGTTCTTCCTAAACGAGGAAAATGGGACAGCCTCAACAGTTGACAGACCCAGTGAAATATGGGGAACCACCTAATTAATTGGTCGGCAGTTTCAATGGGAAACCACCGAAGTGGCGGACATGAATCCCCCGCTTGTACACTGAAGGGTCCCCAATGGAAATAAACAGGCCCATATGGGCCTGCTTATTTGGACGTTGGTATTATCGTTGTCGTGGCTTTATAGGAAGGTAGCCTCTCATTCTGGTCGTAGTTTCTGAGTCACATTGGTCGTAGTAAGTTTTGGGGGCGTGTTGGACGTTTGCCCCCGCTCATTCTGGTCATAGTGGCTGAATGATGTTGGTCGTAGTGTTTGCTCATTTTGGTCGTAGTTGCCAAAGCCGGCCGAATCATTTGCACTCAACTCAACTCGACTCAACTCAACTCAACTTCATGAGCCAGGGCTGCGTCTGAAAGTCATACATATTTCCGGGACTGGTGTAGAACGACAGAAGAACTGGGACCGAAACGACTCTCAAACTAGGACCGAAACGATACCGTGCCCTGAAAGGAGCACCCAAGAGGAATGCGGCAAATTACGCCATGTTTTGTCGAGAGGGACCTCCAATTGCATCCCAATGATTCCATTCACCTAGTACGTAACCACCGGGTTACTTGTGGCCTAGCTGAGCCAACGCTGCATCAGCATGTCTGGGCTTGTTTGTTCCATTCGTCACAAAACGGATTTCGGATTCGGGACCCACCCCCGGATTGGTAAGGAAGAACAGCCGGAAACTAAGCAAATTTGGGTGCGATTTCCTCTTAAATCAACATGACAACACACAAAAGCTTCCCCCAAAAAAAGCAGAAGGCACGCCCATTTCTGGGCTTTTGGGCCTGGAGGCACAGCCAAAAGCGCTTAGCGCATCGGAGGTTCGGTTCCTGCAAGTGGCCAAGCTCCGCTTTGCCCCCGACGGCCGGGTGCAGCACTTCGAGGAGTACTGGCACGGCAGGCTCGAGGGATTTCGAGCGAGCGAGCGGGATCGAGCGGGCATGCAACTGGCAGCTTGCCCACAACCAGTGCCATTCCTTCACTTTTTTCCTTTTTTCTTCTTTCTTTTTGGAGGGGGCTTCCCAAATTCCACCGAAAGTAGACCCGCAGTTTCTTAGTGAGCCTACTTTGGGCATCGGAGCGCAGCATGGTGGTTGTCCTTTTGACTTCCCTTGAAAACAAATTGTGGAATCCGGAAAGGAGTGTAGGTGCTTGTGCCATGAGTAGTTGAGTTCCTTCGGGTTTTGTAAGGGGATTTTAGGGATCTTTAAGTTATAGTCGAGCCTTTGGGGTTTTCCTTTTCCCCCCCCCCCCCGGACGTCTTAGGGACTCCAGAAACCCACCCGCCGAACGAATCTTCGTGCGTGAGGTCCTTGCAGGCGGCCAAGGGCCTGCGCGCCCCGCAGGCGCGGCGCCGGCGCTGCGGCCCCAAGCGACGGCCCAAGGCGACGACACCGAAGACGGTCGGTGTGGCCGGCGTTTTCGGAAGGTCGGTGGGGGTGTTGTTTGGCTTTTTTTTTGGTTTGTTTGTTTGCATTTGGGCTTTTAGGTGAATTCCTTTGTTTCAGTTGTGTGTTTTTGGGTGGGGGGAGGGGCTCTTTTGGCTTCCCCCCCCTCCCACAAAAAAAGAGAGGCGCCAGAGCCTAAAAGGACCTCCAAGAAAGAAGGAAACACATATAATAAGTCATTTGTCTCTAGACACACGGCCGCGGCTCGGCCGGTTTCTAAGCTTGGCAGTTCCCAGCCCTTCGATCTTGTAGATCGAGTTCAGGGGAGTTGTGGCATATCGAACAAGTGGAGTTGTTCAATGACGAACTCACATGAGTATGGGTCAAAATTAAAACCACCGCCGCAGGTGTTAGTGCTTGTTTCCAGTTGCCAGGGCAGGCCATTGTTGGTACCTGTTTTTGACCCACACCCACATGTTTCTGAAGTGGATCCCAGGCCACTTTGTCAGAGCTGAACGAACGCCAGTCTATCCAAGATCCAAGGTCCTCAGTAAATCGATCCCAGGCCCTCAGTAAATCGATCCCAGGCCCATCAGTAGAAACACGTAGGAAATCTTCAGCCTTTGCAACTTCTGTCGAAGAAATCCTTGAGGGTGTGGGGTCTCCAAACCTATTTCACATTCTAGAGTAGACCGAAATTTGTGGGGTCTCCAGAATTTATTCTTAACGTTTTCAGCAGAATCTGTCGCTCCCAGGTGGGTTTCTCGAAGGCACGACCCGAGGGAAGTTTCTGCCTATCAAAATACCTAGTGGCTCAATTTATCTGATGAGGTCAGTAAACAACAGGTGCGGATATTCGTACGAAAAAACCGCTTAGCAGGGCTCCCTAAAAGATACATTTTGCCCATTTGAAACATGGCTTTTTCCACCAAAATAAGGGGAAACTACCATTGACAAGGCAAAGTTCAGGTGTATAATGTAAGGATCCCTGCCTAGCTGCCGGGGTTTAGTATAGTCATACCCGGGCCCCGCTCTGAGTACTGTTGCAAAGAAGGACGGTTGCAAAGAAGCGCGTGTTTTTGTCACGTCTGATGTTTCTCCTCTGCCAGTGCTTCCAATGGGGTCTGTGGGGATGTTTGATGGGGCAAGGCCAGTATTTAGGATTGGAGGAAGATGGCACATGTATTCCTAGGGTCCGCCCCTTCACTGGCTCAATGTTGAGTCATAATATGGCTGCGTGTGGTCAGAATTGCTTCTTTTTCCCAAAGGACATGAAACAATTCGTGAGTCCCCCTCCCCAAAAGGACAGGCTCTAGATTTGGACCAACTATATAAACCAGCTAATAATGGGAATCCCAGTTAACCGATTTAGCACGCAAATAATGGGAATCCCATTTAACACAGTTTTTTCAAATGGGAATTCCATGTAAGCAATGTAACGCCGATTGGACCACGGTCAAGGGATAGGTGTTCTTCCGGGGTGAAGGGTGACGTGTCTGGGATAGGTGTCGGCACCCTTCTGGCGCCGTCTCTTCGGCGCGGACCTGGGGCCCTTCGAGCAGGAGGCGAATGGAAGGAACGACGTCGAATCGTTTTGGAGGGCTGTTTGAGGCAACGGGTTAAGGTACGGATGCTGAAAAGAATGCACCAATTGATTAATATGAGGCAACGGGTTTTGGAGGTATGGGGGCTGAAAACCCACCAAGATGAATATGCTTGTGATGCAGTTTATATACCCAGTAGATGCCCCTTATATAATATATCCCTTACATGAGGTCTATAACCTCCATACCTCCCAAGCGCATACCTGGCAAAGCCCTTGATTCGGGTGCACCCCATGGGAACACAGCAAAGTCTCGGCAAACAATCAGCGACGGGTTGTGACCCGCAAGGAAGGTCGCTTGCTTGTGGGTGCCTCTAAGATATGTGAATCACTGCTTCACCCAGGAAAAAATGTCCCCAAACAAAGCGAGGTGTCCTGGTTTTCAGCGGGCCTCAGAGTCCAACCTTGAATGCTATTGGCATGGGTCTTGCACCTTTGGGAAGTGATGCCTTTCCCACCAACCTGCACAAGAAATCAACTTCGCATTTTGGGCGGGGGGTAACAGCCTTCAAGTTATACTGCCCTTTTCAGGGGCTTAAAATCTCACCTCGTTGTGGATGGAGTTGGCTTTTGCAGTGATGCTTTTGAGGGGACACATAGGTTTGTCTCAAAACAGGGGAACCCACAAATGGGTGGTTCCCCTTTGGTGCCCTTTAGAACAACCCAAGAAGAAGTTTCCTACGAACCTCACGCCCATGCAAGTATAGCAAGCTCGCTTCGTAAGACCAGCGATGGGCCGCATCAAGGTCCCTTACTTAGGGAGTTGCTGAAGTGTTGATCATTCAACACTTCCGGCAAGGAGGCACATTGCCCAAACGGATGTTCCATGTCAATCCACCTTCCCTGCCCTCCACTCGCCAACGGACGACCAACCAACCAACCAACCAACCAACCAACCAGCCAGCCAACTAACCAACCCACCAACTCTCCACCCCTCCAACTCTCCACCCGACCAACCCTCCAACTCACCAACGCTCCAACCCGCCAACCCTCCAGCCCTCCAACCCTCCAACCCTCCAACCTCTAACCCTCTAACCCTCTAACCCTCCAACCAACCTCCAAACTTTTGCGTGTTCTCCGCGCCAGGCCATGCGCCTCACCCTGCGAAAGGGAACGCCCGAAAGGGCTGCCCTTCCGGGTGCGGATGCCTTGGAGCAGGTGCCCGTGGTGTGCAACGCGCACCTTGGCCAAATTCGCACGGCGGGGAATGGCTGCGAGCCCGGAAAAACCGGCGGAGAGATCCAACACGGGTTGGAAAGCGAGGGGGCGGCCCCCCCCCCCCCCCCCCCCGTTTTTCAGCCGAACAACGGGGTGCAAGCTAGCCTCAAAGCACATGATACGTGAAGAAGCTTGAGGCTAGAACCTTGACGTGGTTTCCTTTTGTTTCCTCCCGTCCAAGACCAGTTTTCTTAAAACTACCAACGAGCCTAATACACAATATGTATATATAATATATATATATATAGATCTTGAGGACTCTGCGGCGATGGAGAGAGAGAGAGAGAGAGATATCTTCAGGACCCTTTCTCAAAGTGTAGTTGATTCCGCGGGGGTCTGAGAAAGTGCGCGCAGTGCGAATATGAGTTGTCGGAGATCTACTCTGCACATCGTCCGTTTGAATATATCAAACTAGCTTCTTACATTTGCCGAGTTGGCAAGCCCTGTTTTATTGTTTGTTGTTGCTAGCGATCTAAGTCTTCGTCCCGGTCGCATGTTATCAACTGAGAATCGGAACCCCTTTTGTCAGTTGATTGCAAGGTTGTTTTCACTTTACTTGAGGCCCTTTGCCGTTGGCTATTTGACTAACTGTGGCTTAGTGCCCTGAACCCTTACCATGAGTTAGGGAAGGGACTTTTCGACATTGTGGTTTGCAGAAGGGCTTTAAACTCGGATTTGCCAGCCCAGCTTCAGGGAAAGCAAACGAATTGGGTGTGTCTCAAAACCGGGACCCTCATTCAGACATGCAGCCCACTTAAAGCACATACGCCAAGCGTCTGCCGATTTGGTCATCCCAAGTGGGTCTCAAATTAAGGAGCCATGAGCTTACTTAGGTCACTACCATGGCCTTTTGGTCTTCCAACTGGTATGGTCATACCCTCCTCATTCCCTGAGATCCTGGGGCCACACTTGGGAACACCGTGTTTCGGTGTAAGACGTTCGGCCAATCCGTGAAAAGGACTGAGCTGCCAACAACACAAGCTTGAACATCCACGCCCAAAGCGGTTGGTTTTTCTTTTTTTGGAGTTGGTGCCACGTTTTGGTTCTTTAAAAACGAAACCAAAAGAAAGCCGAATTCTATTTTCGGGCCCCAAGTCTAAAATGGCACATGCCCCGTTCGTCAACCAAAAGCTGATTAGTCCGTCGAAGCTTCCGGTCCGAACAGAGCTGCACCCAAACCCACCGAGGCTTGCAAAGCTCTCGGCTTCCCCGAAGACAGACCTCGTCGCTTGGTACCTTGGCTGCTATTTAGTCTTCTGAGAAAGGGGGGGCCAAACGACATGTTTGTTGTTTTGGGTTTTTATTAAGTCACTGCAAAAGGGGTACCCTCAAGAAGAACATGCTCATTTGTTTGGATCTTTGGACTGAGACATGATCTGGCCACGCAAGTTCAGCCGTTGTGCACGGGTTTCTTGCCGTTTCCCTCCCCGTGTGAGCCACAATAGAAACCCGGATGGATGAAGGTTAACGGATAATCCCCACCGTAAATGGGTGCCTGCACCGCCTTCTTAATTCATATGGCTCTGGGGATCGTTGCCTTTTTTTTAAACTATCGGTTTTGATTGTGACTCAGGGGGCTGATCATTGCCTTCGGCCCCCAGCTTTGACCATGACCATGGGACTTTTCCCACGTGGAAATCTCGTCTCACTTTCTACTGGGTAACTCTTCCCAGCCAACGGTCACCCCAGCATCACTGGAGTTCTCTTCGCCAAGGTACCGGCGCCTGGTGACGGCTTCCGACTTGGCGGAGGACAGCGACGTCACCGGCGCCCCGACGCTGCGGCCCTGGGGCTTCTTGGTGGTGCGAGGTCGACGCAGGGTTTGGGGGTATCTGGGGGGGCAGTGTTTTTGACTGAGGGTTCGTGGTGGTTTTGGGGGGGGGGAGGGGGGTTGGGGTAGGCAGTGCTTTCTTGAGGGTAGCCTTTTTGGGGGTTGGTTTGAAAGGGAAACCAAAGGGAAAACCCGTGGAATCAAAGTGAAACAGTCCGGGCCAGCAGGTCATCTCACGATTTGCCGGGACAAGCAAGGAGTCCAGCAAAGCACTGACTGTGGACTTGGATTTTCAACACGAAACTTTGGACAATCGGGCAAACTACGCAAAGGATTTCCCGGCTTTGCTACGGTTGTTGCACTGGGGTCGTTGCCTGATGCGTGGCGAACGTTTATGGGTATATACCTTGCATTGAGGATTCCACCGGCAACCCGTCAGTAACAAGGCTACGAATCTGGTCGAGACCTGCCTATGCAATCCGCAGTGCATCATGAGGAGTTACCTACGCGTCCATCAGGGCAGTTCTCCCTCCTTTGAAATCAGTATTTCAGAGCGTTTAGAGAACATGCAATGGATGTGTACTAGTGGTTTAGCAACATAGTGTATGTGTAAATATTATATACACGTTGAACAGCAATCATGTATTTGTCTAGAGGGTGCTTCAGGCACTACTGCCAAACTTGTTACGTTGGCGGGCCCAAAAATAGTGCTCCTTTGAATACAAGGGTCAGCTGAAAAAAGTCCACCAGCCATCCTCAGATCCAGTTTCCCGCTAAGCAAAAACACGACATGTACTTGTGCACATCATGACTCATGGCTCCCCCTTTGCAACTTCGGCAATGCGAAGCCGGGACCGGGGACTCCGCAACATCTGGTCAGACCCTTGCGGGTGTAGGGGCATGCGCTTCGCATGCGGAAGGGATTGGGTTCCATGGCCGGCGCTGGCCAAGCTTGTCAGGAAACAAGCTAACATGGGGCCGAGCCCAGTTTTCGATGGTTGGATTTTCGTCTGTGGTGAATGCCCAAGAATTCTTTGGCGGTACCAACCCACTTTTCGGGTTCCACCGTTCCACCCCCCCGCCCCCCGGCTTCCGAAGCGGCCGCTTCCCGGCTTCCAAGGCGCCTTCCTTTGGGAGGAGCTGCGCGGCGCCCTCGCGGAAGGCCTCGCGGAGCTCAGGGCGCAGCCTTTCGCCCTCCCCGTGCTGGGCCACGCAGAGCCGCCCGCCGCTCGCCCGCCCTCAGCGCCCTGCCGCCCCGGGGAAAAGGGGGGGGCCGGGGTCGGTGTCTCGGGCTTCCTCGACGTGAAGGGCGAAATTGGTATGGAATGACACACGAGTTTCCGAGTTTCCGGGGAGTGAACCGGTTTTGGGGATTCACCAATGAAGGAAACCATAGGGGATGGTTTACCTCATTCCCTGCTTCGAACCAGCAAGTTGATTCTGGGTCCGTGAATTCGGTCAATCAGTGGACTGGGGGTGAATAGGGTAACGTGGGTTAAACATATATAAGGTACCCCCCCAAAAAGGGTTGCCCTTTTGCACATGATCGGGTTGTTTTGGAGGTTCTCCAGTCTCGGCTGGCGTGTCCAGGAAAAAAGCACAAGGAGCCAGCCCCGATGAGAGTTGTCCGAGGGGGACACCTGAAATGGACGATCTCCTGATTGCGAACGCCATTCGGACATAGTCATTGCTTGTCCTTATTCCGTGCTTAAGTTTCGGTGAGCCCCTCCCGCTAGCATGAAAGGATTCGGGGGATTCACCATGGATCCCTGACAATTGATGTTTGAGCCCCAAGCGAGTGACAAGGCCATGGAGTACTGTGGGCTGATGTATCTTGCCAAGGCGGGGCAAGAGGCGCCAAGTCTGGAAGCGCGGGCCGCTGGCGAGCCACTCCTCTACAAGGCCCATGGTAGCAATGTGGCAAGTACGACTAGGCCCCCCAGTACTGCCCTTTTACTCTTTTTTGGGGGAGGGTTTCCCTACTAAAATAGACAGACACAAAAATGGTAATTACCCGCATTCTATCCTCTCTACTGGAGGACCTAGACGAAGAGCATTGCTTCGGGTTGATTTTTGCCTTGGCCTTTGGCTGCTTGTCGCGGGTTTCGGTTGCTTTTGAGGGCTTTTGGTGGGCGGCTCTGGCGGCTCGTTCGGCTTTTGTGGATTGTTGGCTTAAACCGCCCCAAACTGACCCTGAGCCCACCCTAAACCAACCCTAGACGGGAGTGACAAGTTGGTTAATGGTTTGCTTGGTGAATAAACCCGCAGGGAGCCTTGCCTCCTTTGACTATACCTTCGAAGAATCTGGCGAAGTACCTTGAAGGGAGGTTGTGGCAGGATAGTTGTAACTAAATGTGACCTACACCTCTGCTTTGTTTGATCGGCCCTTGTAGAGGGGATCCGCATCAGGGTGGGTGTACGCTTTGGATCGTTTTGGGCATGAGTGCAGGGGGGGCTTCGGGTGGGGTTAGCACGAGATTAGGGTGGGTTTGGACAGGGTTTAGGGTGATGTTGATTGAACTTAGAGTTGGTTTATGGTTGGTGTCAGGTGGGTTTGGGGTTGGTGTAGGGTGGGTGAAGATTAAGAAAGAATGGGGTCAAGCTTGGTTTGGTTTTGGGTTGGTTTAGGCTTGGTCTAGGACTGGTGTAGGGTAGGTTTAGGTTTGAGACCAGCCTAGGACCGGTAAAAGGTGGTTTCAGTGCGGGTTTAGGGCTGGCGCAGGGTTGGTTTAGCCAGGGTTTAGGATGTGTGTTTTGGGTTGGCACCAGGTTTCACGGGTCCAATAACATGCGAGCCAGAGGTTGGCCATGGCGTTTTATCCTCTCAAAGTCGAACTTATATTCTTTGGGGAAGAGGTTCAGCTTCCCTTGACAGCTCCGACACGTATACACCACCCTCAGGGTTTTTCAAACAGGAGACAGCGTTGGAGCGTTGGAGCACCGCATCCCAACGGCCTGAGGCCATGGCCAAGTGGATCAGCTCCGCCCGGGACCTGCCGCTGATTCTGTCCCGCGGAGTGGCGGCCGTGACCTCGGAGCCGCCCAAGCGCCCGCTGGCCTTCCTCAGAGCCCGGGAGCTGCACGTCCAGGAGGCGGGCGATCGGGCGCCCAGGCCACTCGCCTCGGTCGCCTGGTCGATCTGGGAAACCACCAACAAGAAAAACCTGAGGCCTTTTTGATGGGGGTCCCCTTTGACACGGGACCCCCAAATGTGCGAGCGCTGAATATTCGAGGAAGGAGTTAGCTATAGAACAACCCACGGCAACAAAATGGGAAGCCATGGGGATATAACCATTTTTGCTCTAGCCTGCCCCTTTCAGGAGCTTGCCCCCCAATTAACCCCCACTTAACCCGATGTGAGAACCTAGGCCACAACCAAAGACTTGCCTTTCGGGAATCTGGTTGTTACAAGAGCGCGCTGGGCTTCCCTTCAGTCCTGGGTTTCAACCCATACGCTAAGCTTAGGGAGCCCAGGTCGACTTCTTGGTTTCTTATGAATCCCAGAAAGGGCCCCAATTTTGAGACACATCAAGGTTCTCCATTGAGCGGCGTTTTTTTTGGTCGCAAGCTAATTTATTAGGGAGAGGAACTTTATTATTGAAAATTTGCACCGTGCCACACGCACGGAAGCATGCGGAAGGCTTCGCGGAAGGGATTCTTTCGCGGAAGGCTTGTGGAAGCTTTGTGGCTGATATGAAATTAGTTGTTGCAGTTTGTGTGCGTGGAAAAGCATGGCGAAGCGATTACACTAGAAGCGGAAAGGTGTTGCTGCGTACAAGAAACGCAACGCTTGCACTAGAAGAGCCGTTGCCAACAGCAAGACAGCCCGGCACATTTCGCGGAAGGTTGGCGGAAGCGTGGAAGGGTGGCCCTGTGTTTGCAGGCAAGTGTCCACGTAGCACAGGCAGCTCAATGGAGCCCAAGCCTACAGGCTGCGGCGAAGCACTACTTTCCTTTCTTACTTGAATTGACTTTCCTTTCTGCACCCATACTCGCGGAAGCAAATCTTACAACATGCGGCGCGGACGGTTGCGGAAGCAAACATTGAAACGCATGTGCCGTGGAAGTTCGCGGAAGTTCGCGGAAGGGACCTCTTGGCCCGCGGCCATGATGTGGAAGGGTCCGCGGAAGCTTGAATAATGTCCAATCAAGTTTGTAGGGAACAAACACCAACGCTCAAATAAGACACCTTCAAATTCCATCGCCTTTTCTTTGATTCCCATACCCAAAAAAGGGCCACCCCCCAACAAACGTCAACTTGACCCGCAGGATGCGCAACCGTTAGGGTCTGGGCGAAGTGGCATTTGCGCAATCGTTCAGCCGCCAGGGCCACGCGGCCCACTCCTCGGAGGAGGAGGCGGAGAAGTTTCTGCAGCAGGTGCTGGCGGTGTATCTGCGCCCAGCCCTTGGCACTGGGGGAGTGGGGCCGCAAGGGCGCTCTTAGGGCGGAGGGCTATGGTTGGCTTGGGCGGGTTTAAGGCTTTAGCCTCGGAGAAAAAGTTCTTACGCTGAAACGGGAGTTTTTGATGACCATGGTCCCTGAGTATGGTCCAATTTGAAGTTAACATCAGGCTTGGTTTGGGCTTGACGTGCCCCACGCTTGGGAGATGGATTCATCGGCTGCAGTGGGGCCTGTTGGGCAGCGCGGAGGATTGTTCCGAGGCCTTTGCCGAGAACTCTTAGCGCTGGACGTCTACGTCGAGGAAAGGGTGGCCGGCGCACGGGTGGTCCTCGCGTGGCTCGGCCAGGGTCCGAGCGGAGCCCGGAGCGCCCAAGTCCTTTGGCCCTGGCCGCATCAAACTTTGGCTCCCTGGTGGTCACTGCTGGAAGCCCAAGAACTTTGCGGCTTCGATTTTAGGACCAGCGTCACGTTTTCACGTGTTCCCCAAGCAGGTCGCCTCCCTCGAAGCACCAACAGGGTTGCCAGCTTCGAGACACTCCGCATACTTTCCTTGATCTAAGGGCACCTCTGTCCATCCTAGGGAACACTGTCGAAACCTTAAGTCGCTTGGGAATAGGGGCATGTTGTATTGAGTCGTGGCTTCCCTTAAGTGTTGTTCTGGGGGAATTTCTAGCAACCCTTAGCGCCTTGCTCATGATGAGTGTTGGGGGGCTTTTGTGTCAGCTTGGTGAGGTACTAGAATTCATCCAGATGAATCTGCCCTTTGCCTTGGAAAACAGTTTTGTCCGCTGAGCAACCGATCTTGCCCAGGGGTGTGGGAGTTACCCGCTTCTCTGAGAATATCACTGCAAACAGCCTTCCCGATGAACATGAGCTCACTTGAAGGGAGGTTCAGTGGGTCGAATTAGTTGAACAATCTAGTCCAACCTCATTCCGACAACGCCTTCAAACCCGTCCAGGTTGATTTGACGAACTGACAACCAAAGGGAAACCGATTGCAATGTTGAAGAGATCACATAGAGCCCTCATTTTGAATAGCCTTCCGCGTCCATTCCCATATTCCTTGCTAAGATCGCGCACGATGTTTGCAGCAGCAAAGCTAAGAGAATCTCCTTAGCTGGAAGCTTTTTGTTGTCTGAAAGGTAAGCCAGAATGCGAACCTTCAAGGGATGTTCTAACCCATATCCCTTTGGAGACCAAACCCACCTGGGATGACCACCCAGCACAGCAAGCGGTTCATATCCCGAGCTCAGGTAGGATTTACCCACACCCAAAGGCCTGGATTTAACCAGGTGTATCCACTGACCTGACCTGCGACGTGCGGTGCTAACCCTCCATTTGGTGAAGAATATTGCTTGTTTTCCCCTGATTTTAAAGGGAATCCATCACTACTGGACAATTTTTCGTTTTTTCCAGGGGACTCAAGCAAATGGAGGTAACCCATGCAAACTCGCCCGCGGCTTTGCTCGTCCCAGGAAGATCCCCGGAGGAGCGTTGGAGGTTGCGGCCGTGCAACATCTGGGCACCACGGCCGCCGAGGACTTCAAGATGAGCTCGGCACTGCAAGGAGCGTTTCGCTTTGGGTTTTTGTGACCTCCTGATTTCTCTTGGGAGCCATCCGATTCCTTAGCTTTTTAGATTTTTTTAGCTTTTGAGTGTTTAGTGGTTGGATTTCTATTTAACCCACTGAAAGTTAAGCTTTAGCGATCTCTCAGACAAGTGGCAATACCTAGCAGCAAACTGCAATTTTTGAAGGGGAATCCAGTGACTGCTGCTTGAGGGTGTGGGAAATCAGGTTTTTTTTTGTTTTTTTGTTTTCTTGAGGGTGGCATGTGTCAACAAAGGGAGAAGGCGACAAGGGTGGCGACAAGGGTACTGAGGCTTAAACAAAAACTATTTGACCGCCATCTTCCCTGTTGCATTGTGGGCCCCCTTCAACAAACCAGGTTAGTGTATGGCCGCGAGAGCAAAAAGAACGGGGTCCAGGGTATTTCGACCAACCTGTTTGGGCCCAGCCAAAGAAGTAAGAGGGAGACCAAAAACAGGACCCCGTGCAAGGAGCCATCCTTACCGGACAAGGAGTCACTTTTATTCCAGACGTGGTTGAAGCGAATCATGACATTTGGGATTTGTTTCTTGACCACAATTTACTTTTCAAGGTTGCCTAAATATCTGGACATGTGGACCAGAAGCGATGATACTATTTGTACTTCGAGGGCAAAAGCTTGGTCGCCAAGTTCAAGACGCCTCCCTTCCCTGCCCTCGGCCCCCGCAGCCCGCCCTTGAGGGAACTTTGGATCCCCAGATCGCTTGGGTTGGTGCTGAGGCTTGGGCTGGGCGCGAGTCCCTTTTTCCTCCAAGCCAAAAGCTCAATGTTTGTGATTCAATTTGATTCCACACACCCGATAATTCAAACTGCCCTCATGGGCAAATGAATGGCTACTTCACCAAGGTGCATTTTTTGGTGTTTGGGACCAAGGCCTCGATGGGAAAGGAAACATAACCTCTACATTTAACTACTTGGACGTTCGGCCATGGTTTTAAGAGTTTTCAGCGCGGGTGCTGTTTAGACCATCATTACCCTTGCAGACTTCCCATTGGAGGTGTGCCAAACAGGCCTCAAACAGGCTTGGTAGCGCTGGACGACTGACTGAAGTGGTACTTGAATCTTTCAGTTTCGTCCAGTTCGAAAGAGGTTTTCGCAGCCGCAGTTGCAATGGGTGGGTGGGTGACTGGCCGGGTTCTTGTGTGTCTGTCCGCTCACGCGTATTTTTGGTGCGCGGGCCATGCGCAGAAACCTTGGCGTCGCGTGGGCGTTCGTCCCATCTCAGGAGGTTCTGCACTGCAGATGCCGAAGGAGCCGCGGTGAATCGAGCCGGCGCCCTAGGCACTTGGAAGAGGGTCACTGATGGACAGGCCAGCGTCCCTTTAACGCTCCCCGCAATTGGTTCTGAGGACTTATTCTGAGGGCTAGGGCCTCACTGAGCGCGTGCACGTGTCTAGAGGGGAAATTCTCTCCTGTTGTATTCAACCACTGTGGAGAGATATTGGACGTTGCATGGTTGTTGTTGGGACACATTTCAATCATTTTTGGCTTATTGTGGCTTAGTGGTTGAAATCCAACCACTTAACGTTTGGTGGGAAATCCAACCACTCAACCGCTAAAAAATGGTGTCTTTTTTGCTCCCCACAACCCAACGTCAACCTTGAAATTGGGACCGTATCCAAACCTCGAAGGCTTCCGCGGATAAGCAGAAGACGCTAAGCTCCAATCCAAACCAATTCGTCGAAGTAGCTTTTGAGCATACCCCGACCTCTCGAGCCTCTTTGGTTGTGATGGTTGCGAGGAGTCCTTTCATGGTTCGTCATGATCAGAAGGCATGGGATTTGGCGACTTGGAAAAGCGCCGATCGCCACCGAAGGACAACAATGTGTGTATCCGAAAGGAACCCATTGTTAGACCCCATTTAGGGTGAGCAAAATGATGACCTTAAAAGGCACACCCAAGCCATGTTTGAGACCCCAGAAAAAAGAAAGGCTAGGGTTTGCCCTGCCCCATATTTGCAAAATGGGCACAACTATTATTTGAGACTCCGGAGATAAGAAAAGGGGTAAGGGTTTGTTTACGGTGGGTTTAGGGCCGGAAAAGTGGGTTTAGGGTGGGGTAAGGGTGTAATCCCAGGGTGTAATACAACAACCATTCTTTCCAGGCATCCTTCTTTCTACAAAACCACCCAAAATCCTGGGGAAACAGCGATCGGTTTTTGACAAGAACCATGGTTGAAAATAATGCAAAAGGAATCAACCCCTATAAAAAATGTGCTGCTTCCCTTCAGTTTCCCTAACTGACCCTAGAAAGCGGTACCAACTCAAAGAACGGAATCAACCCTAGAACTTTGGTCCGTGGCGTGGCTCCGGAGATTGGAGGCCTGTTGGCTGAGCAGCTTCTCTGCCACGCAGCGCCTCATCGCCGCCGCGCTGCTGCGGCACTCGGACCACCTGGGAGCCGCGCTGCCGCCGCGCCTGGCGCCGCTGCAGGCGGGATGGGAGACGTGGTGGTTTCTGAGTTTTTTTTCTTTTTCTGATTTTTCCCTCGGTTTTTTGATGTGTTGTTTGGTTTCCATGGGTTTTCATCGACTTGTTGCAATTGGTTTGCTGCTTGGTTTGGATTGGGCTAGCCCCCTGGTTCTAGAGGGACCGGAAGCCCGTCCAGGTAGCAAGCTGACCATGGCTTTCCAGCTTTCCAGTTTTCCACTGTCTTTGGAAGGGACATTTCCAGGTGCTGGGACTGGTTCTACCAGCTGGTTTTTGTTGAGCTCAAGTACCCAAAAGAGGGGGTGCCTCTTTCTCCCCCCACTAGGCGTTTGAGGTGACATGGGAATGAGAAACAAATCCACCAAGTCTGGCCGGGGCCAGAAAATCCCCATGATAGCCACTTTTTGCAAAATGGGTCGTAAGTAAACCAATGAAGAGGAACTTTGATTACCTTTTTCAGGCTCCTAAAAGTGGTTTCCTGTGGCAACCGGATTTCTGCGGATGGCCGCAGGTGGTCATCATCCCAATGACGCGCTTCGAAGACCGCAAGCAGGTCCAGCGCTGGTCGGCACGGAAAAAAAAAAAGCACCGAAACACAAGATTTTTTTTTGGGTTTGAACCTTTTTGGCCTAGAGGTGGGCTTCGCGTGGGGCGTTGGAACCCTGAAAGGGATGCTTCTTTCCCGAGCATCTGCCTTTTGGTTTTCTTGAGAGAGAGACCAAAAGGCTGCCAATCAAGTTGGGAACCAGAGAAGGAATCCAAAAGGCAACTCATTTTCAGACGCAGACCTCCGGTTGTGCCTTTTTGTTTTGTTTTCGTTTGGTGAACTTTGCCTACCAAGCAACGTTTGCCCTCTTTTTCCTACGGCCGCTGGTGGACTGGGGAGACTTGCACCTTCCCTTGCGACCTCTTCCTCCGTGCTCTTCCCCCTTCCTCTTCCTCCCTGCCTTTCTTCCTGCTTCCTTGCTCTGTCCTCTTCCTCTTTCCTCTTTTCTCGTTCCGTCTTTTCTTCCTTCCTTCCAACGAAGTTCGGGATCCCCAACAGCCAAATCGCGATGTGCCCATCCCAACTCGCAGGAAGAGGCGGCCAGGCGCTGTGTGCAGCAGATCCAGGCTTGGTGTGAGGCGGGTTTGGCGATGGGAAGGGCGAGCAGGGCTTTCGGTTTTCGTGTAGTCTTGAAGCGAAGCCAAAAAAGGAAAGCCACCCGGGTTCCCTCCAAAACAGACAAACCCAAATTCCTAAGTCTATGGAGGGCCATGTTGTCTCAGTTTAGATTCTCTCAGTTGCTTCAACTGACCTTTCCGCTCTCCCCAAAGATTTGGGGAAAAAAACATCCTAGGCTCAGTTGCTTCAGGGCACCTGTCCGATCTCCCCAAAAAGCCAAAAAACAAAAAGAGCATGGGGCGCTCCTTTCGGGCCATGAGGTAACCTCGCCAAGTGCGGCGCGGCACGAGGCCCTCGCGGCCCAGCTGTCGGCGCCGGCCGCCTTTCGGGGCGAAGGCGGCGAAACCGACGCCGAGCTGCCGGCCTGGGCGCGGCAGGGCTTGCGAGCGCGGAGCCCAGGGATTTTTGGTTGGCCGAAGTGGCGGTGGTGGTCAAAAATATATGTAACCCCAAAATGGAATCCTTGCCCTGGTAAATGGAAACATGGACCAAAACCTGCGGTCCATATGGTGGTTTGATTTTGACCCATACCCAAGTGGGGAAATTGGGGGAAGTCATGTTGCCCATGCTTTGAACCAATGACGTGACATCCTGCATTTCTTTGTTGGCTACCAAGGAGGGTTCCTTTCGTTTGGACCCTTATTCCAGGTTGCCGAATCTTTCCTCGTTTTCTCCCAGATAAGTTGCCCACCTTTTTGGAGCCAAAGTGGCAAAAGGGAACCCAGCAGAAACCAAACCGTTCTCCCAATGCATGCCAAGAAAAGAAGGACCGACAAGTCAGGAGAGTCTCCACTCCAGAATGCAAACTTGGGTGCAACACTGGAAATGCAGGAGGCTTAATGTTGCTTGCGAAAACAACTACTCAAAGGCCACCCGAGCCCCTTTTTTGGGTCCCGTTTAAAGCGCCATTCACAAATTTACATGCGTGTGGCTGCGTGCGTGCGTGGCTGCGTGGCTGCGTGGCTGCGTGCGTGCGTGCGTGCGTGCGTGCGTGCGTGCGTGCGTGCGTGCGTGCGTGCGTGCGTGCGTGCGTGCGTGCGTGCGTGCGTGCGTGCGTGCGTGCGTGGGGTGGGTGGGTGGGTGGGTGGGTGGGTGGGTGGGTGGGTGGGTGGGTGGGTGGGTGGGTGGGTGGGTGGGTGTGTGTGTGTGTGTGTCCGTGCGTTTGTTTTTTGGAGGGTGCCCTTTTTGTCTTGGTTTGAAGGAAAGCCGTTTGGAGGGCCGCGTTTCTGGGGTCTCCAAAACTATTTTACAATCTGGGGTAGGCTAAAGACTCCGATGTGGAGCCAAGATTGAGGGGCTCTCGCCACCTGCCTTTTCGGTCCTCCGTTGGGCATGTGCCAAAATCGGGGGCCACAAGAAAGCTACATGCCCGTTGAGTTGTCCTTTAACCCACCAAAAAAGGCAATGACCTCGTGATTTCCCAATAAAACCACCGAAAAAAAAGAGGCAAATATTCCCTTGTGATTCTCCTTTAAACCACCCCCAAACAGAAACGAAGCTTTCTAACACCACAGGCATGAGCTGCCCGTGGCCCTGAGTCCTCTGCCCATTTCGAGGTGCAGGCGGACCTCGAGGACGCCACTCCCGGCAAGCGCATCCGGCGCTGGATCTGCCGAGGCGTGCCGCTGCTGCTGACCGCCCAGCTGGCGGAAGGCGGAAACACGCACACCCCGTGGGACCAAGAAACCTCGTGTGTATTGAAGCTCCAGAAAACCCCTTGGTTCGAGGGGGATGGGAAGCCACCCCCATTTCTCAAATCCGAACCACCTGGAAGGGAAGCCGATTGGAAACAAGACTAGGTCCCCCAGCTAGGTGCCCGGTTTTTGGAACTCCATGTACTTGAGGGGCAAAACACAGGATTGGCCATCCCAAAGGAGCTTCTTGATCAACCCCCTTTTTGAACATGTATCGGTGATTGCAAACACACCAACGGGTTTCGGTCCATGCCTCCACTTGAGCGCAACATCTCGGAGGGACCCGGAGGTTGGAAGTCAGAGAAATGTTGACCAATTCCTTTGAAAGGAAAACGGTTTTGCGAACCCCGCTGTGTTCCATGTTTGTGGTATAAACTAAACGTGTTTGGGACACTGGTTGGGATTGAACAGGCATGGGGAAAAGCAAGAGCAAGCAACCTGAGCTTCTATTCAGCTTCCCTCTAATCGGTGTTTTGAATTCGTGGTTTGGTGGTTTCTGCAAAAGCCAGGTCAAATCCCTAAGCCACCAATCCAAACCACCGACTAAGGGTTTCCTGATATGTTGAGGGTTTTGGGTCAGTGTGTGGACCGCGGGGTGTTTTGCGGCATGGTGGGATTTGGGAAGATCTGGGGGGCCACAATTGAACTTCCAAAGGTACGTGGTTGGTAACCATGGCTGTAGACAACGGAAAGAGGACTTACAACCATGCCTTCTGTGGATACTAAGTACCCTGCGCCTTTTAGGGGAATATGGTGAGGTGGTGCTGCTTCGTTTAGGCTGTATGTTTGAAGGTATGGTGCTTTGCGGAACCTCAAGTAGTTCTTTGGGCAGACTAGAGGTGCATGCAACATGAGGGTGGTTTGTCCTGCATACCCCAAGGAAACCATTGCAAGGATTTCCTTCCAGGGAACCGTAGCCATCCTTTTGTGTGCGGCCAAGCGCAACCATCTGCCTCAAATAGATCCCAAGGTTCAGTTGGTTCTGAAGGGAAAGTGAAGGGATCCTGAAAGGCCACCTGGGGTCGCAAGGGTCTCTCTTTTCCAAAAAAGTGCGCAAAGCCCTTGTGTTTCAAGTTGTTTGATGGGTGCAATGAACGGGGCGTGAGCTACCGGTGAGTAAACAGCAGCTTGCACATGGAACCACAATGGTGGCCTACAATTTCGGGGCAATCTCCCAATGTCTTTCAACTGTACGCATTGGCTGGAATTGCTGACTGATGGTTACTCAGGTACTCACTGTCATTACAAGCAATTTGATGAATTCCCAGATGAGCGCGACAAACTTGAGGTTCTGATGACCGCGCCCGCGTACGGATGACGGCGAGAGACATGCCAGGTGGGGCAGATAGTAGCTGAATTGCTCTGATTTGCTGACATCTCCTTGGATGTTCAACCGACTTAGCAAGTGATGACCATGGTTGTAAGTAGGACAACGCAATGGTTGGTTTACCTCTACCCATGGTTATAGCGTGAGGGTGAAATTTGAGAGCCAGCTGAATGGCAGAACTGTGTCGTTCGCAATGAACATGGGTTGACACTTTGCTATGCTGGATTGGATAAAGATCACTTGGCCAGTGCCATGGATTGGTGCAAAGGATCTCCAGGAAAGGAATCGGATCCCGCGGTGGATTTCAAATGCTATCTGCAGGACTGAGCGAATAAATCCTCAGCTCTTTCTCCCTCTTTCTCGGAAGAAGCAGGCGAGTCAAGAGACTCGGTAGTGTTAGGCACGGTCATTGGTCTAAGTGCCTTTTACTGTGGCCGCTTCATGGTTTTGAGTGCTTGTGTCTTTTTCGTCCGGGCTTGCTTATGGGGGGTGGGGGGAAGGGGGAAGGGGGGTGGGGATCAAAAAATCAGTCCGAGCTGCAAGCTAAATGTGCGCTTGCTGAAAAGGTTTTGGTGTCTTTTCAGATGTATGCCTGATTCATCCTGAACATGCAATAATCAGGCTGCGTTTTCCCACTGCATTCTGTTTTTGCGTTCGCGGCCAAGCGCCAGGCGTGTGCCATCCCCCCCCCCCAAAGTGCTTTTCACCACCTTTGCTCAGTGTTGCCATTTTAACCATACCGTCTCGAAATACCATGGGTCAGGTAGTCCGTGGTGGTTTGCATGGTTGTTTGGGGATTTGAAGCCTCGGATCTTGTAGAGGCTTGGCCGGAATCTCAGCATCACAGTGGAGGTTTAATAGGAAGCCATCAATCCAAAACTGAGGGAAGGTGAATGGGTGCAACTCTTGGATACCAGGGGAACTATTCGTGTAAGGGACTCCGTCACGTGGAGTTCATTGCACTTCCAAAAAGAAGGCAGGGTCCCCCACTTCATTGCGATCGACAACTTCCAACTTTTAATCGGAGGGCACCAAGGATATTGTATTTGCTGCAGTGAACAAAGGGGCATTTCGAAGAGGACAGCAGTCTTCGAAAACGGTTTAACGTCCACACCCATGATTGGACAGAGTGCGCCGGATCCCCGAAAGTGAACATTGGCCAGCTAGAGGGTAATTTTGAGGATGTTGCTTTGGACCTAGGAGGACAGTACTTTTTTCATGAGGACAACCTTCTGAAAGAGGATGGTGCAATCCCTTTTTTTGGGGAGGGTTCCCCTACTAAAACTTAAACAGACAACAGAACAAAGAAACGCTACCCTTCTTCTAACCTCTCTACTGGAGGACCTAGGTACTCCCCTCGGGTTTGCGGCAAGCGGCCAGCGGCCAGCCAGGCCTCGACTGCCACACCGCCGCCGCCTGTGGCGGGGAGGACGCGGTGACCGCCGCGCGCGCGGCGCGGCGCCAGCTGGCAGCGCTGCAGCGGCGCCTAGGCGCGCGGCATTTTTCGCCGGCGGCGGATGGGTACCCCCCGAAAAGTGAGTTGGGGGGTCAAAAATATGGGGGTGTCAATCATAAATTCCACTGCTCTCAGGTTCTTATGATTTGCCAGTGGAATTCATCCAATTCGTCCATATGTCCAATGCCACTTAGGCTGCTGGAGGTTGCGATGTTTAGCTTGGCCCCAGACCCTAACCACTTACCTCCAAACCGGAAAGGGACCTTGCGCCCGAAGGTTCCTCACGGGATTACTTTCGGGCAGTGTTTTGCGCCGCGACAAATGGAACAGAGCCTCAGGCGCAACAAGGCCTCCGTCTTTTGGGAAGCCTTGCTCAAGAGCAGCCAAAAGGGGGTCTGGTGCATTCTTATTCCTGGTAGACCAAATGTGTATATATATATATATACAGATATATGGATAGGGAAGACCCCTGGATGTTTCTTGCTTGGGGTTGAGGAGGGCTATGGCTGAACAAGGAACGTTTCTTGGCCCATGGCACATGAGGAGCTTTGACCATGGCACAGCCCAAATGGGATCGGGCTCTGGGCCCAAGTTCATATTGGGTTTGTCTCAAAAGCAAGTAAAACCATCTCGAAGGGGTTTTGACAGACACAAGCATCTAGTCTTTGCTGAAACGGTGCTCTATTCCTGGTTGCCATGGTCTTCACCCTTTGGGCCCGCACCAAGGGCCATTTAGATGAAATGGGATCATCACCTGCGGGAGTTTTCGTCGGTTCAGAGGCATTTCAACTGCTTTGCCCAGTTAACTCAGCAGTGACGGGATGCTGAGTATCATTGGGCCTGCTCCGAGTGCTCAGTTGACTAGGGGAGGGGGTGTTCTTTTCGGTGCTGCTTTTCGGCTTGAGGAAGCTAAACATAGGTGTCCTTTTGATCGGTGAGCTTGGTTGAGAAGCAGATGGGTTGCACTGGCTTTGGGGTGTATGCCCCATTGACCACGGAAGCCCTGAATCTAAGCCTGTTGGGGTAACACAGGAGGGGTTTCCCGAGTCTTCCGGGAACCGCTGGAAGCCTGACAGGAACGCGAGGAACCGAGTAGACCGTTCCATTGCGCAGGCTCGTTTGGTCGAGCTCAGGGAACAACCACACACCCAACTACCGCGATACCAGGATCCTACACAGGCTTGTTGGCTGGATACAATTCTTCAGATGAATTTGCGGTTCTGGGACACTCACAACATGGGCTGCCGGCAGGGGACGGCACCAGATTTCATCATCTGGGGTAATCGCAGATTTATAGGCTCACATCTGTGCAGGATCTCGGGATTATATATATATATATATAATACACATCCACATGTGTGTGTGTGTGTGTGTGTGTGTGTGTGTGTGTGTGTGTGTGTGTGTGTGTGTGTGTGTGTGTGTGTGTGTGTGTGTGTGTGTGTGTGTGTGTGTGTGCGTGTGTTGAATCTCAACCCAGTGATTCCTTTCCATAGTAACCAAGGAACCGCCCTTTCAAAACCAACAGGAAAATGACTGGTTATAACCTACTGTAGAGGTAATTGGGGTCCACTGGAAAGCAGGGAGCTCCCGTTTGGGTTGAAAAGCGAACCCAACACCTGGATGCCAGGGTTGGGTGGGGATTTCCTCCACGACCGGATGCTACAGTAACCCCCCGGCAACCAAAAGGAGATGTTCAACAACAGGACAGCCATGGGGGAGAGAAAGTCCCTTCCCAGTTTTGGTCATCTAGATTTTGACCTTGCGGTTCCCCTATTTGAAACTGGTGCCTTTCACATGTCTCTATATATTTACACATGGTATGCATTATATCAACTTGGACAATCCCGACTCGTGCCGAAGAATTCCGTTCAAATTGTGTACCTGGAGGTCCGCGCGACTCACTCCGGCTTGTTTCGACAGACTTGAGCTCACACGGGCTTCCATCAAATGAAGTGCGACCTGCACTGTCCATTTGAAGGACCCAGGCCAAGTGAAGACCCAACTGAAGCGACATACCCATCGACAATGTTCCTCAGGTTTCCACGGTTTCCACAGGTTTCCATGGTCACAACTTCCCCTTGGGTTGACTAAGCTTACGCAACAGGTACTTCAGGGGAGGACCGCCAGAATAAGCGATTGCCCTAAAGGACATGGAAACTTAGTGTGCCACTGTTGTCAGCAGCTAAGCCAGGCACATGTCCTAGCCATGCTGGAGATGACGGAATAAGAAGTTTTTGCTCAAGGGAAAAAGGACAAGCACACCCCGTCGCAACCTGCTTCCAAAGCCAGGTCCCAGTTCTCCAGAGCTGAATGCGGCGAAGAAAAGGTTTCCAAAATGTATGGATTTCGCACCCGCCAGCAACTTCTCCACCCGCATCGTTTTTGCCCTGTTTTGAAATCATGGTTCGTTTTGGTCTCCCAAGGGTGGGTTGCCCTTTTGTCTGTGGCCTGCAGGCTGTGGCGCATGTGCGGGCTCGAGGATAAAACAGCAAAACGGCAGCAGCGCGATGGTAATTGGCCGTTTTGCCATTACCAAGGCCCCACTGGGTGATAAAGTACTCATGAAGTTCCACAGCTACTTTGGCGCTTTTGGTATTCTCCAGAAAGGGTTTCTACACCGGCAGTTCAGTGGCACTTGGCTTGACTAAACGACCTGCGGGACTCTGGGGCAGTGGCTTAAATGGAAGATTTACGGCCTTTTTGGTTGTTTTGGCGAAAAGTAGATGGGTTTGGTTGAGATGGTTGTTTCGTCTAGCAGAGCCATCTATGTTCTTAAAAGCACACCCATGTTCCCTTTCTTAAATGGATTCACTTGGTGGGGTTACAAGCCACTCAACCATTTCTCCAGACGGGGACCCAACCTTTGGCAGGGCAAAGGGACTGCCAGTGGGCTCAAGGTACCCGGAGGCATTTGATGTATATGAGATGCTCGCCTCGTCGATTCGTCCCAAAATCCCTCCATGATGGTGTCAACGCAAAGGCTTTTGACCACTTGCTGAGTGCCAATATCATGTGAAGTCGGGACTCCTGTTGGGAGATTGCCAAGGAACAGTGAAGCCAAGAAGCAACGCAACCATGTTGAGCAGTGATGTCGGGATTTTTTGCGGGCGCCAATGGCGCATCCTGTGGTGCAACGGCCAATGTGTCCTGGGTTTGTTTGTTTGACCCTATGTGCTGGGGTCTCCAAATCAAGTTATGCCAGATTTTAGGGTAGACTAAGTAGGAAGCAGAGTCTGAACGAATTGCAGTTGGTGCACCCCAGATCAGGACCAAGCTTTGTGGTTGAACATAGCGTGACCCTAGACTGATTTCTCGGTTCGACGAAGCTGACCCGTCGACTCTGGAAACGGTGTTTGTCTCACTGATTGGCTAGCAACAAGTTAAACTTGTTGGTGAAGGCTCATCTGGACCAACCAAGGTGTCTTTGCTTTAAACAGAACAACGGCAAAAACAAAACAATACAACTACCCTCCCACCAACTAAAATGGAAGTGTTACACAGGCCCTTTTCCAAGAGGAAAGTCGTCTTTCTGCAGGGGTCTGTGCACAAACCCATAGCTGGTGGGAGGGTAACCCAAAATGGCTCTTCTCTTTTTCCCGGTTGCGACTTGCCGAAGCGGCGGCTCGGCAAGTCCGGCCAGGATCTGGATGCGCTCCGAGCAAGGCTCGGGAGCGTTCAGCCGCTGCAAGGCGAGAGTGGTTGACGCCTTGGATCAGGTCATGGGGCATAACCTATGGTTCCATTCTGGGGTGGATGAACATCCATTTGCCACCTATTTTGATGTTCACCAGGGGTACAGGGTTTTGACCCACAGCCAAATCTGAGTGCCGAAGGAGACTTTGACTGCTTCGAGTCGTCCCAGTCGGAAACTGGGGGGCTGGTTTCCTTAAAAGGGAGCGATGGAAGCCCACGCAGGATCTGAAAGGCGCAGTGTATTTCAGCGGTTAGTAGCCATGGGCAAATAATCGACTTGAGGTACTTCCAGCCAGTGGTAATAGGAGGCATGGTTGCAAGACAGTAAACTTGCTGGTGCTCAGTAGGACATGACCCAAAGTGTTGAGAATAAACCTGCATAATCCTCAAAGGCAACCATAGGGGATGGATTATAGGGTCGTTTCCCTCTACTTGACCTCAAACATTTGCAAGTACTTCTATTGACAACCCTCCCATGTACCACTTGAGGAAGACCAGCCCTTTTGAGGAAGGTGTGTGTCCTCGCTCTTTTTTCGGCAAAGACGTGTTGTTTTTGGAACCTTCTGATAGATCCATGAGGTCGGTCCTCAGGAGTATCCAATCGGACATATGGGTGTGGCTCAAAACTAAACAGGAGAGGTTACACAGGTTTTGGTTCATGTTTCCACTTACCAGGGTTCCATTTTGGTACCGGTTTTTTGAGCCACAGCCATATGGACGATGTCATAAGTGCAAATGACGGGTTGCCAACCATTCGCAAAGCGGCTGACTGCCTCGAGTGCAGTGCTGCTCCCAGCAGCCAGAATGCTCAACCTTTCTTCCTCTCTCGCTGCTTTCTTCCGCTGTCCTTGTCAGTTGCTCAGGAATCCTTTTGTTTCCCTTCTCACGTTTTTTTTTTATTATTATTATTATTTTATTTTTTTATTTTTTTTTCTCTCTCTCTCTCTCTCTCTCCGTCTTAGCCGTTCAAGTTGGGTGGCTCCTAAAGGGAAGCCACTGATTCGGGACATCTGAAAGGCCCGTTGCATCTGTACAGGCTGGCTCGTCTGGGATGCCAAAAGATGACGCTCCGGCGTGTGGGATGGGACAAGCTTCCCTCTCGTGGCATTGAGCGCTGGCCCAACACAAATAAACGGATCTTGTGTTTTTTGGAATTTGCGTGGCCAGCAAATTCCAACGTTGTGAGCCATTGGGCGCTTAATTTTCCTTGACCCACACCTCAGCCACCTAAAACACACAGCGAATCGGAAACCTTCCAGGCAACAGGGCGATGAGCCTTTGGCCATCAGCCAGGGTAGGGGACCGCTTTTGTTGCATGGCTTCGTCTATATCCCATTAAACCTCAGTACCAGCTTCAATGGAAACCCAGTGGATCCCAGTTGCCCCTATAGTCAGTTTCCTTTTGGTGTTTAAGTTCCCTTGGTTACCTACAAAAGCACGGAAGTGGAGTCGATGGGACCAGTAAATTGATCAACTTTTGATTTAAGCAGATCCAGTGACCCCTGTTCGGGTAAGAGAACGGGCGGTTTGCGTTTGTTTCCATTTGGGTGTCCTTTCTTGGTGGTTTAAAAGGGAAATCAAAACACCCACGATTTTGGGGTCCCCTGGAAAAAGACAAACCCATTTCAATCCATCCAAAAAGGGTCCACAAACACCATGTACATGCGTCCATGGGTGCTTTCCGCAACCCCCCGAAACTGTTTGGTTTCTTGATTTTTGTTCAACGCCAAAAAGGGGGGGGGGCTGCCGAACTCGCCAATTTCAGTCGACTGGTTTTGCTTCTCATGTGTATCATGCCAAATCGTCCCTCCCTCGCCAACTTCAGTCGATGGTTTTGCTTTTTGGAAACACCATGGCGTGTCAATCCCGAAAAGGGTACTTGGGGCCTTTCTTTTGGAGCCTAGCCACTGAAGCAGTGATCCTTTTTGATCATTTCGCCTTTCCGACTGGCCCAAGCCATGCGATAGGACTCTCGCTGTACAGTAGCACTTCGGGTGGGCAATTCGGGCGTGGCAATTCGGTGAGACAAATAGACAACGCCCATGCGAAGATGGATGCAAAATGGAAGTAGTAAAAGGAGCAACATATCCACTAACATTATGCCTCTATTTCCCTTTGGTTTGCCGTGTTGTATCTCAGACAAGCAGCCAGGGCACGTTCCTGCTGCTTGCAGCTGGGTTTGTTTGGCGCGCAGCGAAAAGCCAAGGTCTTGCCACATCAGCATCCTTATCTTGACCGTTGTTGGAAAGTTGCTAGCTTCATTTTGTTTGGTTCTGTTCATTTTCAGTAGGGAGCTGCAAGAAACACAGTTTCGGCTGCCATACCAAGGTGAAGTTGCATCCGACTTAAATGCCAGCAACCAACACAATCACCAGCCACGCTGCTGCCCGAGTGAATGAATCG